CCACTACTAGAGAGTACTTTCTGAACATTTTTATTTCAATGGTAATTGCCCAAATTTGCATATTTTGTTTGGTTTACAATCAACAACACAAACACATTTTAGCACACATACACAGCAAATCAACTAAGTTTTTGGTGTACCTCATCATAGGTGTATCTGTAATCAGCTTTCTTTGATTTAAGATCCCATAATACCACTATTCCACTTTCATAACCAATCAGGAGCTGTAAGACAAAAAGAATATAAACAAATTATATTTTGCCATAAATGAGCAAAATCATGGCTTAAAGGGACACAGCCACAAAAACAACTAACTCAATAGGGCAGTTTTGGTGTATATATCTTGTCTCTGCAGTCTCACTGCTCAATTCTCTGCCATTTAGGAGTTAAATCACTTTGTTTATATAGCCCTATTCACACCTCCATGCATGTGACTTGCACAGCCTTCCTAAACACTTCCTGTAAAGAGACATTTAATGTTTAAAGTTCATTTATTGCAAATTATGTTTAAGTTCTTACCTCCTGATCTGTTAATAGCTTGCTAGACCCCACAGTAGCCTCCTGTGTGTATTTAAAGTTCAATTTACAGATCAGGAGAGAAAACCAACTAAAGAAAGTTAAAATCTGATTTAAAAAAATGAAACCTTTTTTCCCATGCAGGATGTGTGGGTCTCAATCAGAGGAGGTGTGGCTAAGATTGTATAAATAAAAACAAAAGTGATTTAACCCCTTCAGAACGGAGTCAATAGTGCACGTTCTGATCAAAACGTAAACAAAAACTGGAATTTGCGCTATATGTCTGTTTAACCGTAATTCACAGCTGTCACATTAAGTGCACCCACACTTATTATATATCCTTTTGTTCAGGAGAAACAGGGCTTTAATTTATCATTAACTATTCATATATGGAACATAATTTATTATGAATAAAATTTTAAAAAATGTGAGAAAATAAGATTTTCTTTTTAAATTTGTATTTCCGTCTGACATTTTAGCTGTGAATGTCATAATACTGTTAGGTTTTACTGCAAAAAATGCACATATTTGTAATCAGCGATGTCTCACGAGTACAACAGTGCCCCCCATTAACAGGTTTTATGTTGTTTTACGTGCTTGCGAATTAAATTCTCTGCACTTTCTCTCTGTGTTGTCTGGCAATCAAATTTTAATTAATCAAATCACATAATTATGTTAAAAGATTACTCAAATATACATGTAGAATTTTAATATATATGCATTTATAAGTATTTAAATTCTACGTGTATACTAATGTAATCTTTTATGTAATTATATATATATATATTTGCGGTTATTTGTATTTTATATATAGATAGATATATATATATAGAATGTCATTCTAAGTGTATTTTGTTACCTATATATATATTAATAACAAAATACAGTTAGAATGAAATTACATATGAATATATAATTTATATTAAATTATGTTTCAATATTTTATTTATTTTATTATTTTATTTATTATTGTAATTATACATATATATATAAAATATATGTGTATATATCTATGATATATATAATATATATTATATATATGTAATGTCATTCTAAGTGTATTTTAATACTAATATATGTACTTATATTAATATTAAAATACACTTATGATGTTACATATATATAATATGTATATATATATATAATATATATAATAGATATACATATATTATATATATATATAAATACATTTCTATTTTATTTTATAACATGTTTAATGATTTTTCTTTTACTTTCCCACCAACAGGGGGACTGTCTAACATTTCAGACAGTCCCCCTGCTGTCAGATCCACAGCCAGCCATAGAGGGCCACGTGATCGCTCTTTGAGAGTGATCACATGGCCCCCGGGGGCCTGATTTGCCGGGGGAGAAGAGGATCGCGGCGGAGGTGAGTACCGCTGGCCTCCAGGGGCTCAAAGCCGTTACGGCGTTTTATGCCGCCACAACAGCTTTAAAGCCCACTTAATGCGGGATGGCATAGAACGCCATAACGGCGTTAACGGGTTAACTTCTAAATGGCAGAGAATTTAGCAGTGAAACTTCAGAAGCTTGATCAATACACCCAAACAGCTTTTCCCTTTAACAATGTAATCTCTGCCATAAATTTCAAACCCATGCAACAAAAAGTAACAATTTTGTGTCAACATATACATTATGAATATAACAAGTTGCAACCAACATATTTTTTGAGCAGGCCATTTTAAACAGTATATTAATTCATATTATCCCTTTATCTTGGTCATATTATTTGTTCTGTCTGTCCAGTCTTCATCTGGTACCAATATTGTCTTCTTTATTCTTAAATTGATTTTTTTGATGTAACCTAGAAAACAAACTCCTGAAGTCAAACCAAGATTGACCCATGCAACTTTGGTAAACCGTTCTCGATGGAGTCATTGTATTTACACACAAACACACAGACTTCATTTCAACAGTACCAAAACAAAACAGTGGAGGCCACACTGTTTAACACCTTCAGGACAGAATCAATAGTACTAGTTCTGATCAAAACAAAATGTAAACAAAAACTGGAATTTGTGCTATATGTCTGTTCAAGCGAAATGCACTTCTTTCATATTAAGTGCACAAACACTTACTATATATCATTGTGTTCAGGAGAAACATGGCTTT